TACATAGCTAATTTTTTTTTTTTTTTTTTTACTAGAAAGATGTCCAGAGATTTGTTTTTGCCGACGCTTCAAAATTTGGCGAAAATGCGACACAGCATTATCATTAACTAAATTTGCAACGCGCATAGCCACTTCCTTATTAGGGTGATGCTTCTCAATGTAAGATGCAACAGTTTGCCATGCTTTCAGCATTTCTCTTATTTCGCCAGAAGATTGTTGCTTTTCTGTTACCTCATCCTCCTCTTCTGACAAACATTCCTCCAAAACGCAGCTCTTGGTTGTGCTCTTCCACAAGCTCTTTGATATCACTACTATCCATCTACAACCCCATGATAGTGGCCAAAGACACAATCTCGTTGACTACAGGTTTCAAGGTCTCGAAAACCCCAAAGTCACAAATAGACAACATTTTCCGGCCAAATCTTCTTCCAAGCAGAAGTTAAGATTCTCTTGGTAACCCCTTCTCCGCCTTGTCGATCATCTTGAGGCAAGCAACGATGTGGAAGTGATTTTTCCAGAACTCTTTGAGAGTGAGGTTGGTCCCTTCAGTCACCTGAAAACAATGCTCGAAGAGTGCTTTAGTGTAGAGTTTCTTAAAGTTAGAAATAACTTGCTGATCCATGAGCTGGAGTAACGGAGTGGTGTTGGGAGGCAGAAACTGGATCTTGATGAACTTAAATTATTCAGAGAGGTTATCTTGTAGGCCTGGAGGATTCATGTACATATATCAAAATATAACACAAGTTTGAGAAAATGTGTGATAACAAGCGACACTAGGATGCTACTGGAGCGAGTGCTAAACACAGACTGGTGTAACATGCTCACAATCAGGGACTTCCCCTTTCCTCGCCACTCCTCGAAACGTCGCTCGTTTAGCAAGTCATTATTTTACAATTTGTTTTACTCGTTATGTGAATTACTCGTTATGCGAGGTGCTCGTTAAGCGGGGTTCTACTGTAATTGCATTTTTAAACGGAACAGCTGTGTGACAGAGAGGGAAAGCGGTCTAAGGAAAAGGATGGCCGACCTCTAATATCATCATGTGCCTCGTGCTCTTCACCAGGTGGCATACACGAGTAGGCGATGCCCAAGTCCTAAAAGAGATAAGATTGTGGTACACCTATGTTGCCGAATCTGTGAGTATCTCCGCCTTAAGCAGCTCCCTCTCTCTCTCTCACTCTATCTATCTATCTATCTATCTATCTATCTATCTATCTATCTATCTATCTATCTATCTATCTATCTATCTATCTATCTATCTATCTATCTATCTATCTATCTATCTATCTATCTATCTATCTATCTATCTATCTATCTATCTATCTATCTATCTATCTATCTATCTATCTATCTATCTATCTATCTATCTATCTATCTATCTATCTATCTATCTATCTATCTATCTATCTATCTATCTATCTATCTATCTATCTATCTATCTATCTATCTATCTATCTATCTATCTATCTATCTATCTATCTATCTATCTATCTATCTATCTATCTATCTATCTATCTATCTATCTATCTATCTATCTATCTATCTATCTATCTATCTATCTATCTATCTATCTATCTATCTATCTATCTATCTATCTATCTATCTATCTATCTATCTATCTATCTATCTATCTATCTATCTATCTATCTATCTATCTATCTATCTATCTATCTATCTATCTATCTATCTATCTATCTATCTATCTATCTATCTATCTATCTATCTATCTATCTATCTATCTATCTATCTATCTATCTATCTATCTATCTATCTATCTATCTATCTATCTATCTATCTATCTATCTATCTATCTATCTATCTATCTATCTATCTATCTATCTATCTATCTATCTATCTATCTATCTATCTATCTATCTATCTATCTATCTATCTATCTATCTATCTATCTATCTATCTATCTATCTATCTATCTATCTATCTATCTATCTATCTATCTATCTATCTATCTATCTATCTATCTATCTATCTATCTATCTCTATCTATCTATCTATCTATCTATCTATCTATCTATCTATCTATCTATCTATCTATCTATCTATCTATCTATCTATCTATCTATCTATCTATCTATCTATCTATCTATCTATCTATCTATCTATCTATCTATCTATCTCTATCTGTCTGTCTATCTGTCTGTCTGTCTGTCTGTCTGTCTGTCTGTCTGTCTGTGTCTGTCTGTCTGTCTGTCTGTCTGTCTGTCTGTCTGTCTGTCTGTCTATCTATCTATCTATCTATCTATCTATCTATCTATCTATCTATCTATCTATCTATCTATCTATCTATCTATCTATCTATCTATCTATCTATCTATCTATCTATCTATCTATCTATCTATCTATCTATCTATCTATCTATCTATCTATCTATCTATCTATCTATCTATCTATCTATCTATCTATCTGTCTGTCTGTCTGTCTGTCTGTCTGTCTGTCTGTCTGTCTATCCATCTATCTATCCCTCTCTCTCCCTCTCTCTCCCTCTCTGTACGTATGTATGTGTGATTGCTTTTTTTTCTATTTAAAACTTATTCCTCTGCATCTATATTACTCACGTTTTCTTGAAAACAGTGTGGTCGGGCAACTATAGAAGTGTCAGTGTAACATCAAAGTTGTCATTGTAATAACATAGTTGACCTCGTAACAAATGTTGTCAGTGTAACAGCAGAGTATAACAACAGAGTACAACAACAGAGTTCAACAGCAGAGTACAACAACAGAGTCGTCAATGTAACAACAGAGTACAACAACAGAGTACAACAACAGAGTTCAACAGCAGAGTACAACAACAGAGTCGTCAATGTAACAACAGAGTACAACAACAGAGTACAACAACAGAGTCGTCAATGTAACAACAGAGTACAACAACAGAGTACAACAACAGAGTATAACAACAGAGTTCTCAGTGTAACAGCAGAGTTATCAGTGTAACAACAGAGTTGTCAGTGTAACAACAGAGTACAACAACAGAGTACAACAACATAATGCAACAACAGAGTTGTCAGTGTAACAACAGAGTTGTCAGTGTAACAACAGAGTTGTCAGTGCAACAACAGAGTTGTCAGTGTAACAACAAAGTTGTCAGTGTAACAACAGAGTTGTCAGTGTAGCAACAAAGTTGTCAGTGTAACAACAGAGTTGTCAGTGTAATAACAGAGTGCAGCAACAGAGTACAACAACATCGTACAACAACAGAGTACAACAACCAGTGATAGTACACTCGATGTGCTTCTGCCAGTCAGCTTTTATTGTGTGTCCATTGTAGATCAATATTCGCTTTCGCTCAATCCAAGATGCAGACATCTCCATCAGTGTCATTGTTACAGCTCTGAAGATTTTACAAGTGAGTACACCAATACAGAGCTATTCATATTTATCTCTCTCTCTCTATCTCTCTCTCTCTCTCTCTCTCTCTCTCTCTCTCTCTCTCTTTCTCTCTCTGGATAACATTTATTAAATTAATTATTTAAACGAGCAATGCAGAATGTTGCAGTCTCCCCTGTTGAACCGAAGAGTATACATTCTTGACGGTTATATCTAAGAGTAGTATACTCTCCTGTTCACACTTTAGAGAGTTATTAGCTCCAGCCTCATAGCTCTGAGCTCAGCTTGTGTATACATCATGGGCGTCACAATCTGTGTGTTGGCGAGAGGTTAGGCAAGCGGCTGAGACTTTAGCCCACTCAATAATTGTGTAAGTGGACTAGGAGGCAGCATTGAAGTTAAGAACGTGTGGAGAGTTATGTTACAGTCTTTGTTTACACATATTATTTGACTGCAACGACTGTTGACCGACACGAAGATGGGTGCAGTATATAGGTGACTCCTTGAATGTGGAAATGCATGAGGCGGGAGAACTGGCGAGAGACCGAGTTTCTTTCAGGCAGACTGTGATGAGAGCGAGGTTCTGCAAAGGACCTGCTACATGATGATGATGATGCAACGACTGTAAAGTCCTATTTTAGGAGTGGCAGTCTGTGCTATATATATATATATATATATATATATATATATATATATATATATATATATATATATATATATATATATATATATATATATATATATATATATATAGTCCAATGAAAAGTGTTAATACGCTATCGTTCTGAAGCTGTTTCTTGCAGACGTCACCTATCTGTAGCTTGGCGCGTTTGTCCTCTCTCAAAGTGCAATGTCTGTCTCCCTAGTGTATGTGCCAATTTTGATATCTATTTGATCGCTTTTGCATATGTCCTTATAAGGTAACTTAGGCCTTCGTGCAGGGCGTATCCTTCTTACCAGTTCGCCATACAGAAGATCCTTTGGAACGCGAAGGTTTTTCATGCGAGAGACATTTTCCGACCAGCCCAAGTGTCTTTGCTTCAGTAGAAAGTACTTTGTTGGCATTTCTGTCTTTTAAGAAGACATTCATTGGGGACAAAGTCTGGCCATGACATACCAAGGATGTGTCTCCTACAGCGCCTGTGGAAGGTATTCAGTCTTGTGTTTTGTTAAAGAAACTACAGAATCCTGGTTTTACTGCCGTAAAGGGTATGTCTATAACATGAGAAAATGATCCACTTTGTCCGTATGTTACTTTAGCCCCCAATTTTTTAGGTTAGGGTCGCTGAGAAAATTACAAAAATGTTTTCACATGCCGCTCCTTTATGCCGGCAGACAAACGTCTGTCTGGATAAACGTATCATGGCTGGGTTCTTTTCTGTTTTTTCACCACATCAGGGAGCCTTCGAGATGTGGTAGGGAAATCCCCAGAAAGTCCCAAAGTATAAGGGAGGGTTAGGGCTACTGTTAAATTAATAGTGACTACTACTAAGCCTAACCCAAACACCCCACCCCACCCGCCACCCAGTACTATAGCACGTTCTGTGAATGTCCCTACCAATAGTCGAGGACCACGTGATGTGGTGAGATAACAGAAAAGAACCCATAACTGTAAATGTAAATTCGTTCCTGTGTCTGTTTATGTTTCCGGGAGACAGGATGCTCAGTCGTCGACGTTCATATCGAGTCTGAAAGACCAGGCGGGTGTCATTGATGGAATGGCAGCACTCAAAGCTATCAAGGCCTGGCACCCCAACCAAACAGACATTCCTAAAAGCGATCATTACATGGTGTTTACTGGGTGAGTCCTGGCTAGTTAACAATACAATAATATCAAACAGTGTAACATAACATATAACATAACATATAACATAACATATAACATATAACATAACATATAACATAACATATAACATAACATATAACATAACATATAACATAACATATAACATAACATATAACATAACATATAACATAACATATAACATAACATATAACATAACATATAAGATAACATATAACATAACATATAACATAACATATAATATAACATATAGCATAACATATAACATAACATATAACATAACATATAACATAACATATAATATAACATATAATATAACATATAACATAACATATATACATAATACATAACATAACATACATACATATAACATATAACATATAACATACATACATATAACACATACATACATATAACATAACATATACAACATACATATAACATACAACATACATAACATAGCATATACCATAACATACATACATACAACATATAACATAACATACATAACATAACATACAACATACATATAACATAGCATATAACATAACATATAACATAACATATAACATAACATATAACATACAAACATACAACATAACATATAACATAACATACAACAAAACACATAAAATAAATAAAACATAACAATAATATAACATATAAAAATAACATAAAACATATATACATAACATATAATACAACATAAAAATATAAAACATAACATAACATATAAAAAAACATATAACAAAACATATAATAAAACATATAAAAAAAAATAAAAACATATAACAAACAACATAAATAAAAACAAAAAAAATACATAAAAAAATAAACATATAACATAACAAAAAAACATAAACATATAAAACAAAACATAAAAAACAAAAAACATATAATATATAACATAACATATAACAAAAACATAAAACATAACAAAAAACAAAAAATATAACATAACATATAACATAGCATATAAAATAACATATAAAAAAAACAAATAACATAAAAAAACAAAAACATATAACATAAACATATAAAATAAAAATATAACATAAATAAAAAACACAAAAATATAACATAAACAAATAAAGATAACAACATAACATAACATATAACATAACATATATACATAACAATAAAAAAAACATATAAAAAAAAAATAAAAACATAACATATAACATAAAACATATAAGATAACATATAAACATAGCATAATAATAACAAAAAAAAAAAACATAACATATAACATAAACATATAACAAAAATAATATAACATAACATATAACAAAAACATATAACATAAAATATAAACATAGCATATAACATAGCATAAAAACATAACATATAACATAAAACATACAATAAACATAACAATAAATATAACATACATAATAAATAATAATATAAACATAAAATAAAACATAACAAAACATATAACATAACATATAAAAAAATAACATAAAAATATAACATATAACATAGCAAAAAACATAACATACAACAAATATAAAACATAACATAAAAAAAACATATAATATAACATATAAAAAAACATATAACATAACATACAAACATAACATATAACATAACATATAAACATAAACATATAACATAACATATAATATAAAATATAATAAAAAAATATAATAAAAACATATATATATAAAAAATATAATATACATAATAACATAACATATAACATAACATATACACAAACATAAAAACATACAACATATAACAAAAACATAAACACAAACATATAATATAACAATAACATAATATATAACAAAAACATAACATACATATATAACATAAACAAAATAATATAACAAATAACATAATACATACATAATACAACATATAACATAACATAAAAACATAACATATAAAATAGCATAATAACAAAAACATATACAAACAACAAATAACATAACATATAACATAACATATAACATAACATATAATATAACATATAACATAACATATAATATAAGACTATCTCTGGAAACACCGGAAAGGTGCCAACTGCTCCGTTAGCCAATTGTGTGTGTGGCTATTTGACGGGAGGGTACAGCCAGTGTCTGGTTTGTTGGTTTACTGGGTGGCTACGTGGCTGGTTGTTGGCTGAATTACATGATTGATTGAGAGATATGTGTTCAGACCCTTAAATGTTCAACTAGAATATCTGTGCACTGGAACCTACAGGGGGGATAAACCTAAAGGCATGCCCCCCCCCCCCCCCCCCACACACACACACACAGACGCACACAAACACGCTTAGCCCTTCAGGTCAAAATGGACGCCAGGCACGGTTACTGTTTCGCGTCGAGGCCAATTTTTTGCTTCTGCCAGACGGTGGCCGTTTTTTTTTTTTTGGGGGGGGGGGGGGGGGGATCCAATTCTAGACTGAAAGGATACAGTTTCGGGGCGCCAGCTACTGAGTTGAGTACATGGCGCGACGCTGTGAGCTGCGGATTTCATTTTGAATGTTTTTCGACTGTAATCAACGTGGTGTTGTGAACTGTAGATTCAGGAAATGGCGCGTAGACGGTCGCCGCAAAATTGGTGATGCCCTTATGTGATTAATATTGATCGCGTGCAAAACTGCTGATCTGTTGGCGACTTCTGCTACTGTCTATGTTGAACTGCATTTCTAATGTCAAACTGTTTGTGTTAGCACTTCTGATGACTATAATATGCTTTTAATGCGTGTGTATGCTAGTGCATATGCTGAGACTGAAGTCTGTCAATCTTTACACAAGGGACTGTGATAAACATTCTGTGTGTTTTTCGTTGGCACAGGAGCGGAGCAACTATGGGGTGATTTGTTTGCTATGAAGCTGAAACTAAGATTACCAAGCACACAAACACACACAAGTACCAGACACACACGGAAATAACTAGACAGACAGAGAGGGAGAGAGAGAGAGAGAAAGAGAGAGAGAGAGAGAGAGAGAGAGAGAGAGAGAGAGAGAGAGAGAGAGAGAGAGAGAGAGAGAACGAACGAACGAATGAACGAATTTAATTTTCAAAGGGTTACAAATTAGGCACGCAGGCCTGTCTTACATTCGGCCCCTCCAATCTCCCATCTTTCACACAGCAGTTGTATTTCATCAATAAAGCATGCTGTGTTCATGTAATAATATGCATATTTTCAATATCCAGTCAAAAACAAAAGCATGGGTAGTAAAATATGTGCGCACGCTCGCGCGCGAACACACACAGTCACATACACACGCAAACCCATTCATTCACACACACACATAGGCACCCAATACACACACACACATACATACAAATACACTCACAGATGCACCCACATTCACACAGACACACACGCACAAACGCACACACATTCTCAAAAAGACACACACACAGATACCTACGAAGCCATACACACACAGACACATGAAGACATTATATAATAGACAATCCCATAGAGACTCACACAGACACACACAAAGCAACACGCACAGACGCGCACAGCCACAGACACAGATACACATGCAGCCACACACACAGACACGCCTCCAGATACATAATGGCACACACACACACACTGACACACAGAGACATACACACATATAATAACACACCCACCAACGCACAAATACTCGCACAGACACACACACGCAGACGCACACACACAAACACATGCACACATTATCAAAAAGACGAACACACGAAGCAACACACAGAAACACACAGCCACAGACACACGCAGGCATAGACACACAGACATATACGCAGAAACACCTACAGACACAACATAGATACACACAAACAGACAGACAGACACACACACATAGACAAACACGCAGCCACATCCACACATATACACATACAAACACACGCATAGACACACACCCACAAAAACACACGCAGCCACACATACGGATACACAACACAGACTGACACGCACACTGACACGCTCACAGACACGCTCACAGACACGCTTACAGACACACACACATATGCACATCAAAACGCGCATATAGGCGAACCAAAACAGACACGAACACAGACACCATACAGACTGACACACAGACACACGGCCACACACAGAGACATACACTTACACACACACACAGACCCACAAGACATACAAACAAAATTATACATTTACTAATACATACACTCATACGTACATACAAACACGCCTACACACGCATGCATGTCACACATATACGCATACATACATATCATACACACTGTAATTAATTATAAACTAGTAATGCATTGTGGATTATTAACTACATTTAAGGTGGCATGTAATCACTGGTAATCATAAAATGAAAGAGTTTGCGGTTAAATGAGTAGAGATTCTTTGTAGTTTTCAGATCGAGTGGAAGATGGTTCCATAAATGGGCGGCAGAATATGCTAAACTTTTTTTCAATATATCAATTCTGGGTTTAGGCAAATCTAATAAACTTATTCGCTTGCTATTCTTAGGATTAGATTGAATCAATCGGTCGATGTAATTTAGAGTATCTTTAGATAGGACTTCGTGAATGAATTTTGCTTTATTAAAAATTAAAAGTTTACTAAACGGTAGAAGTCTTAGATGTCAGTATAAAATCTTTTTCTCAACGTAGTTTCTATCGGAAACTAGGCGTAAGGCCCTATTTTGTAAAGAACTCAGCCGTTTGACATTAGATTTGGAGCAGCCATCCCTAATTGTGGAACAATAGTCAGTATGCGTTTGAATGTGAGATACATAAAATATTTTACGTGTATTTTCGTCCAGAAAGTGCTGAATTTTTCCAAGTTGATATACTTTTTGTGCTACTTTTTTGGTCATGGTATGAACATTGGAACTCCAAGTTAGATGGCTGTCAATTAAAACACCAAAAGTTTTGTGTTCAACTACATTAACAATAGGTAGCTTGTCAATGAAGAGCTCAAGCGGTGGCTTGTGTACAGCTAATGTTTGTAGCTTTTGCCTAGTTGTTATCACCATAGATTTAGATTTGTTAATATTAATTTGCATGCG